AGTTATCCCTCCCTCACTGAGTGACGGGGAGAATAAGTAACCAACAACAATTATAAAGTAATTAGGCTGGCTTATTTCTGTCTACAAACGGTTCTCCAGAAATGTTGCCTGACGTTTGACAAACTAAGTGCGGGAATTGGCGGGGGGAATGGAATGCCTTCGTCAAATGTAATAATGGCGTTATTACAAAGGGAAGCGAGCGGAGACCACAACAAACCTCGACCCATTTGGATTACTTGTTACGCTTTTGACTGACCACTTCCGGACTAACGTCTTTTTATGGTCTACCAGTGTCGCCAATGCAACGAGTGTTGCACCTGTTGCAGGTTGGGTTTTTTCTTTTAGCTTAGATTGGAAATTGTCGATTGCATAAAATATAATTTCGAAAATGACAGTTGATATTGTGGTTTGGGTTTTCATAATATTTGTATATAATTTAAAAGCTGACACTGGCTTAAAAAAATATAACTTTTAAATTAAATTAAATTAAATTTGTATTAAATGTAAATTTATGTTAGTACTTGGCTTGGCCTTTTTAAATTATTAAAATTCAAGGCTACTTAAAGTTAAGAATTAACAAAACTAAGTGATTAATATGAGTACAGCTTATTAAAAATTTCTAAGTATGCTTTTCGTGTCAATATTTGCTCTTCGAAGCAGGTCAATGCTGGATTGATGACAAGGCAGATTTAAAATCAGTTTCAGTAGCTTACTTTGAGGTAATTGAAGCTCAATAGTTTGACAACAAGCTACATCCGCATTAAGGGGACACAGTGATAGTTTGAAAGATCGACCTAAGCAGAACAAGTGTGAATTCCTATTTAATAATGGGATATCAATTTCTGTCGGTTTATATATATTATATATTTATACATATATTTATTCAGTTAGCTATTAATACTATACAAGTTTGGCTGTTTAAATTTGAATATGAAGTCTAAGGATGAGCATTAAGTCATCGCTGGCAAAAGCAAAATTTTGAACCACAATCGAAAGCCTTTCAAAAAGCAATTGAATGTAGTAAATGAAAGCAAAGGAAGCCTTTCACTTCAGACACGCTTTTCTTTCCAGTTTAGAGTTGAAAATGCAATCATTGCGCTGCACTTTTGTGTCTTCCTCGATGGCGTGTCGAAGCTCAATTAGCTGCCCTATTGACCTGTTTGCAAGTTTATGTTTAACAATTCGAGTAACTTACGATTTTTTACATTTATTATGTTTTTTTTTTCTTTCTTTTAGATTTAGCGCTTCGGCAGAATGGCGCCCATGCCACGCATTCAGTTGGCCAACAGCAATGCTGCCATCAAAGCCAACACTAATAATTTTCTCTATGCCGAGACAATTTCCGGCGACAGCAGCCCAACGCCCAGCAGTCCACCCTCCAGCACAGGTAAGCTTGTCCCAAAACATATTGCAGACTTCCACAAAACCCCGTTTTTATTTTGTTTTTAATCTCTCTTTTAATCCTAAAGCGGGCGTGGCCAAATCACAATGCTCCTCGCTGTCTGATGGCGAATCCTTCGAGGGCTACGGAGAGAACGAGTACGGGGCACAGCAGAATCGGGAGACGGGCAGTTCTCCGGGCAACAGACATGGCAACATCAATAACAACAACAACAACAATGGCAACAGCAGTAACATGAACAACGGCAATAACAATCACAGTGTGAGCAACGGCAATGGCATCAACTCCTCGCACGACCACAGTGGACACTCGAATGACGGCAATAACAATTTGAGTGACAGCGCTGGCATTGAACTCGACCTGGCGCCACATGTTGTCTCATCCTCGCCCAAGGAGTATGTGCTTCTGTTATTTATATACTCAGTGGACTGCATCTGATTTTTATTAACCTATTGTTTGTCTATTGTTGTTGCAGCGATGAGGAGCTCAGCATTATGCCCCGCGACAACTGGGCCAGACGCAGTCTGAGACGCACGCCTACAAGGTAACTGCAAAAAGTGGGCTTGTAGTCGATTCAAGTCGAGTCTCAGTCACCTGCCATATAAGGCCAGACGATCAGCAATTAGATATGGAAAGCGCGACTGCGAATGCAGTAGAAATCTATGCTGTCTTCATCAATTTGCACACATAATCGCCATAACTTTGACGTAATGCCCATAAAATGACCAGTTTGTCCGTCCAAGTGCGAGTATCAGTAACGCATCTGTTCAACGCCATCAGCCAGCAAAGATGATCGAGCAGCAGCAGCCTGTGGTTTTGTCTGTCTGACTGTGGTTTTTTAGTCTTGCTTGTACAACTATTTGAATATTTAACCTTTTTCTTTTGTACATCTCTGCTGCTTGTATGCATGAAATTATGTATGTATGCATTGTATTGTATACAAAATGTACATACACATAAAACCACATGCACACATACGGGTTGAAAAACCAGTTTGTCTAAGCCCAGTGTTTGTCTCGTTGTTTTGGGCCGTGATTCATGCGTTCCTCAAGTTGAAATCGCAGTTGCGCTCAGAGAGCGTTTATTGCTTCCGCTTAATGTTCAACACACCATGTTAAGAGAGACAGAGGCACAGAGAGAGAAGAGAAAGATTCGCTTGAATTAAGAGAATTCATGCTCTCTTAAATTTTACAATAATTTGTTTGTCATTTGTCAGGGCTGCATAAACATAAATTATGCTAGGCAACAAAACTGATTTGCATATTTCTTGTGCATTTTTATTCTCAAATTAAGAAAATAGTTGCTACTTTTCTAAAATGGTTTGTTAACTGATTACTCTTAAGTGAAAATGGACAAAGAAGCTGATCATCTACTGTGGCTATAATTTCCGTCTGAACTTTGATTTTGCCAACCAATTAGAATTTGAAATTTCATTAAAGTGTAGCAGAAAATCACAATTTCTGAAATAACCAATTGAAGAATTCCTTTAGGCAGATGGAATAAGTATAGAATTGAAATTTTTTATGTCCGTTTATTTAGTTAATATAAATGCTTTAAAATATTTTCGGACAACTTTTTTGAAAGTGAAAAATTTATTTATTTAAATCGGAAAATGTGTATTTGACAGCATTCGAGTTTAAAAATCCCAATATAAACCAAATTACGTATTATCTGTTAATCAATCTCCCTGTCTCCAACTTATCGTAAGATATAAAAGAATTTATAAGGTCGACTTATGGAATATGTTAAAGAGTCTACTAGTTAAAGCATGCAAATATTAGCCTTAAGTGAGCATTGAAATGACGACATTTCGCTAGTCCTTCAACGATAAATAGATTTGTTCTCCTGAATTTATGGTGCAAATTGTTGAAATTCCAAAAAGCTTTTCCTCTGTTCGTAGCAAAACTCCAACCATGTTTATAGAGTACCCAATATTATTTTATTTTATTTATATCACAACTATAACATGGAAAAACAATCTGAGAAACACTCATTTTTTTAATTGAAACTCATAAAATATATCATATCATATTCTTTACAGCAATGCCGACAATTTATCCCAGCGTCGTTGGGGCTCCATGAGACAGTAAGCAAATATTGATTTTATTGCCATGCTTACGAGAATACTTTTCATTTTGGTTGCTTTGGGTATTCATATAGAGTTTCACATTATTCTAACAATTTCATACAAATTGTTGTCCATTTGGTTATGGTGTCTAATTTGCATTACTTATGTATATTATTAATATAAAATGACTCTAAGTTAATGTTAATATCAGCACCGAATCTCCTAATTATACTATGCAACATTTCTCCTATATGGATATTTATACATATCGTATCTTATTTAATCTTATCACAATAATAACTGAGTTGTATTTATATGTATATCATTCAGTCCAAATCTCTCTCAGCTTATCTTTATCTTGCTGCGCAGTTCTATTCAATTTTTCAAGTACACTCTTTACATATACACACATATGAGGTAATTTCATAAAATTCACAAATTTATTTTCTGCTTGGACCTACAAAAATGTTTGTTTTTGCTTTGGCTGTCATGCGTAGAAAATTGCTTATTTTTCCTAGTACTTAATAGTCTGGTTCGCGGCAGCAAATTAACTTAGCAGATTAAGTGTCAAAGATTAGGGATTAGAGTTGTATAATTTGTAGGATTCTCATTCAGTTTTGTGTACTGAATTTTCTCTTTGTTGGTACTTGGCTTGGCTTCCTGTTTCTCATGCTGCCTGCATTGCCAGTTAACTTACAAACTTGCTGGCTGTTTTTGTCACTGCTCGTTGTCAGCCCTCATACTCACGTATGTATTGTGTATATGTACGTGGCTAAAGTTGTTCATCTGCTTTTGGATGCGGTGCTTGTGCCCTGTTCCAAGTGAAAAGGTTGAAGGTAGTAAGTAGTTGGCAACAACGAGCCGCGACTTGGTCTTCAACTCTTCGGTCTCTTCCAGTTCGGCTTGACTTGGCTTACAAGTTTGTGCTGACTTTTTTTTGCATTATTGCCGGGGTTGTCATGCCATTGGAATGCGCACAGCGGGCAACGGAGAGAAACAACTGCGTTGTTGAGGAGCAGAGAGAAACGGGTTTTTGCTTGCGGCAATTCTGTTAACTCTTCGTTTTCATCTCCTCAGAACAGAATTTAGGCCGCAATACATTTTGTCAAGCTTCAATTGACCCAAAAGTTAAACCAAAAATTGTCATCCACAGCCGCAGTTGTGGCATGGTCAGTGGCACGATTTGAGCTGCAATTAGCCGTGCAAAATCTTTGCTAATTAGATGCACAGTGTCTGCCATCAGTTAACGTTAACCTTGATGCAAATGCCTCATAAATTGCTGGCTACGTTTTAACTTTCCGGCCGTTGCATCCAATTATTCCCAGCAGTTAGGCCAACTCTTACCCAGCGTGAATTTGTCATGCAAATGTCTTTGTTTCTTTTCCCTTCTCTGTCTGGGAAAAAATGAATATTTCAAGTGCACTAAAAACTGAAGTGATGTTGAACTTGTACTAAGGAACTATTGTCTGTATACAGGGGAAAGTACATAGGAACGGATGTCATACAACAATTTTGAATTATTTATTTAACAATCTAACAATTTAACAATAACCAAAGCAAATCAAATCCAATCAGCTCTATCAAAGATCACCAACGCCAAATTGGTATCTGGTTGACTTTGTACGAATCAGATTTTTGGTGTTTAGCCTCAATGTAGGCCTGAAGTTTTTTCGACGCTTCCATCACCGGCGACAGACTTGTCTTCGAACTTTTCTTGTGGGTGTGATGATTGGTAAGACTAACTTCCGAATTTGATGAGCCAGATAAGAGCTCCTCCGATCCTAATGGGCTACCTTTATTGGATACGGATGCTGTTAAGTCAGTGGCTTCTTCGCTCATTGATTCCATTGTTGTGCGCTGTAAATTCCGAGCTGCTCACAGCCAAAAAACCATTTTCTTATCAATATCACTTACCTTAGTCATAACTTTCAACTTTAGCATCAATAAAAAAATTATTATTATTGGCGTCGAAACAACAACGGTTATCCAAAATGTTGCTTTCTGGTCCACTGCAAAATATTTGTATATAGCAAACGCCTTGAGCATAAACCAGCAAAGCGTCTGCCACTTGCGGCAACTGGGTGACATCTTTATGGCTTCCTCGGTGCTGATTTCTTCAGAGTAATCACCGTGCAGCATCCACATTAGGCTCATTTTTAAAAAATAAAATTAAAGGAAGATTGTCCTTTGACATAAAATGAAAAAAACTATGCAAAATAGCTTAGAAAATGTGTAAGAAATATAAAATCAATAGGGCGATGTCGATGCGTACTGAGAATTGTGAATGCTTTTTATTAAAACTGTTATTGTTTCAAAATCCCTTTCTTTATCTGTCAATTTCATTTGACTGGACTAAATTACATATAACCACTAATAATCGGTAAAAAGGATAAAACGAAGTTGTGTAAAATATAATATACAATATATTCTTGAAGCGTCATAGATAAGCTAATGACTTGGGTTAAGAGTATATTCAAGTCGAGCTTTCTCCACTGATGCACTATTTATCATTGCTTAAGTTGTTATACAGTATAGATACATATTTTATATACTTTCCAAGTCGAGCTCTCTCGACTGGAGTATGTTTTATTATCATTTAAATTATACAGTATTTTGTATACATATTTTTTTTGGCATTTTTAATTTGGCTTTTCGCACATATCAAGAGCATAGGTAATTGTAGAGATTGTGATTTCTAAGTTCCGCCAATTGGACTGTAGTTAGTTGATTAATTACGGCTAAAAAGTCAACTGCATTCGTTGCTAATTGGCAGCTTCAGTTGAAGTAATTGGCCCACGTTTTACAGTTTTTGGCAACTCATTCTTTAGCGTTGGCAATGTGTCAGCGATTATTTTGGCAGTCAAAGTTACTGGAAATTATTCAACGTATGAAACTCAGACTGCCTCGTTTTGTTGCAATGTTTGTCTTGGCCAGGTTTTTAGCTGCTGCCTGCAAACATGTTGTCTGCACACATGTTGCAAGTGTAGGGTAACAGTTTTGTTTGACTGCAGACTGCTGGAATGTTAGTTGTTAGTTGTTCAGAGTGCTGTCCAAAGAGGAACTAAAGTTGCAGTTATGTGCGGGGTTCATTTTTCAGTTTGAATGCATTTATTTCTATATATTTCAATTAATTTCATTTTGCCTATCTATGCATATCAAAATGTTTTTTCTTTCTACATTGCTTACAATTTTTTTATTGTTGCTAATTTATAGCCAACATAAAAATATTAAAATATCTAGCAACATTCTGAGGGTAAAGAAATATTTAAAAATGTATTTATGTTTGTATTAAAAAAGGACTATAAATTTAAAATTATTTTCACAAAGTCAGTTGATTATAAATGGATTTTAAAATTAGAAGAAGAATTAGAAGGAACTTTGAATGTTTCTAGCCTTAATAATTTTTGACAGCAACTAAACTAAAACTAGGCTCAGTTGGTAAATAAAAAAGGCTTAAGAATGAACTATGATAATATGCATTAAATATTATTAAAATTGAATTAAAAAATTTTAAAGAAACAAATGCTTACAAAATATTAAATTACAATGAAAATGAAATAAATAAGCTTAAGCATTATCTCAGCTCAACCGATAAATAACTGCAAGGAAGCTAGTTGCCAGCCCAATTCGCCGCCTTGTAAACCATCTGGCAACGCTCATTTTCGCTGCAAACCAAATGGTTGCTGGCGCTGTTCTCTTTCAATCGCTTTTTCTCTTTTTGACACATGGTCAACGTTTTGTTTGCATCCCTCTCTCGCTCTCGCTCTCACTGTTTCTGTTTGCGTATTGTTGTTGCTTTTGGTTGCGTCGAACCTGTTTGTTAGCCGCGTTTAGATCGCCTCTGCGGCATTTTGCGTTGATTTTCAGTTCGAAACCTGCTGCAAGCGCGTGCGGTTCGCATTTTTCAAATATCGTCGGCACTCTTAAAATTTCACCTCTTTTTGCGGATTTCAGTGTGCGTTGTTGTTTAACATCCGAATCGCATCCGTCGTCACACTCGGTTCCGGTGCGGCATTATAAAAATCTACACAAAATTCCGCAGCCGCATAGAAAAAAGTATGTGAAAGTCTTGCAACAGACGGGCTGGACGGTCAGACAGAGAGTAGACAACGCGGCGTATGCGAAACATTTGTTTGTAAAGTTTTACTGTTGATGAGTGCAAAAAACTGGGGTGCAAAATTATATTTTAAGATTTTGTTGGTCATAAATTTCGCTTTCCATGGGTGTAGAAAACGCAGCGCATCTAGCTGTTATTATATTGTTGTTGTTGTTGCTATTGTTGTTGTTGTTGCTTTGTAGTTTTAACTCTACTGTGGCTTATTGCTTTTAAGTAGTTGTTTTGTTTTTTTCGCCTGTTTCTGTTGTAGTTTACACTTTGGTAATTTACGGCGTCACGCATTAATGATTGCACCAAGCGTCATCAACTGACGAACTGACGAACTGATGAACAGGCCAGCCAAGAGTCTATGTTGCACATGCCCCACGCATACACATACACGTACACATGTCTGACATGTCTTGTCTGTCTACACACTCGCACACACATACACACACACCCGATGCATTGCCCACGCCCTTTTCTAACAGAATCAGAGACGAAATCAGAATATAAGCAAACGAGTGCTTTTTACCTTGCTCTTCTCATTATGGCCGTGTTCTTAGAGACAAAAACCAAACAACAAAAAAAAAAAAACGATGGCAGGGCTAAAAAGAAACTAAGACAAATAAAAAAAATATTTATATGTATAGCTGGCCCACCCCTTTGAAATGACGCGCGATGCATCAATCAAAATCAAATCGCTTTATAGCCTTAATTACACTTAAGCAGCCATAAAAGTCGGTTAACAGTTGGTGCACAATTTCTCATTGCAAGTTGCATTAGTTGGTCAGCAGCGTGCACGAGAAAGAAGAGGGTGGAGGACATTGAGAGTGGGCTAAGCGCATTTGGATTTTCATTTTGATTTTGATTTCGAATTCGTTTTCGCTTTCCGAGACGCTATTTAACGACGTTATCAGAGCTAGGAAAAGCTCAAAATGAAAAGCGCGTGTCTGTGAAATATTAACCAAGCAATTGCAATTGCACTTGTTGTTGTTGTTTTGTTTTGTTTATTGTTATTGTTGAAACAATTTGTAATGAAAAGTGAAGTGTGGCTAGTCGGTGATCGCCAAGTTGCGAAAGTGTGTCCAAAACTAAATTATGGCCTGAGCTGCTTCTCTTCAATCGTGAAAAATGTGCACTTCACTTGAAATCAAAGTGCTGCAAAAATGTTAACGAAAATCATCAAAACATCATCGCCATTCAAAATCCAGTTTAAAAAGTAAAAATAATACATATCTTATGACTTGTGAATGACTTAAAAGAAAAACGTGTGTTGTGCAGGCTTGTTGTTCTACGGCAAATATAAACAAGAGTGATTCAATAACGTTGCTTTGTGAACAACCTATATGCACTTGAAGGCAATTAACGCTTAACCGGTTTTTATCTTATCAAAGCTTAAACAACTCGAAGTTGAAGCCACTTTCAATGAAGGGCAATGCGGCCTACGGCCCAACGATAAGCTAATGAGTTAACTGTAAACCTACTAATCGCATATACAAACATAACAAATCTACAAAAACAAAACAAAAATAAATAAAACCAAGAAGCAATCTTCATATGGATGATGAATACTATGAATATTTTCCCTATGACCGCCGTCATTTGAGAAAAATGTGCGTATACCCAACGATTTTTGGTTGCCTGCTTGTTGTCTTGTCGTTTGTTAATTGCTGTTGCACCTAATTGTCATGTATATAGCATTATTAAGTGTTAAATGTATTAATTCTTAAGAAAGAAACCCACAATGGCACACGCCCACAGACAACACCCACACAACAATAAGCACTTTCGCCTCTGCAACCAATCGGCAAACAATGTGACTCAGCTTTATTTTCAATATATACCTGGAGCCTACCTACATAATATGTGTATATGTATACATATGTACATATTTCTTTAGAAATCGCACAATCGCAACACTGTCTTGACCCGCTCATTTTGTTGACTCTTATTGCCATAAAATGTTTTCAAATTCAATTGATTTATTACCTATCGCATTAAGTGAAGTATGACCCAATCTTGTCGGTCGTGCATAAAACTAAACAATGGATATTTATAGGTAGGGTAAGGGAAGCGCAGAGAATAATAATAAAAATAAATGTTTCATATTTTTACTACTTTTTCATTCAATTAATTAAAATAATAAAAATAAATGTTTAATATTTTGTGCAGTTTACTACTTTTTAGTACAACTAAAGTCGTATTTGAGTTGTTTTTATATAATAAATTGCCATGGTAATTTATGCATTTATTCAATTGATAGTGCAAATAAATTATATCAAATTAAAAGGAAGTAATTGGCTTAGAATATAATATATTTATCGCCTATTTTATTATTCAATTTATTTGTTTAAAATATATTTGTAGTTTATTATTTAGATATTTAGCGACTTGGCTTGGAGCCAGCCAAATACCAATTCATAAATAAATAATTTTAAACAAATAAATTATTGGCAGTCCTAAATTATTTATTTATTTTCCTGCAGTTTCTTAATGGTATTTAGCTTATATTTTTCTACCAATCAATTGGTTATTTGCGCATCATCAAGTTTATTAGGGTTCAGGCAACTACCAAACAGCTATCCACATATCCATATGCTATACATAACAATATTCTGTCTTTCTATTTTCTGACACAAAGTCGAATTTTGAATTTGATCATCAACTAGCTTATTAATACATTTATTTTTTATTTTTTTATTGGATACATAATTGAAGAATATGGAAAGAGGTCACCAAACACAACGCTATTTATCTGCTAGTCATTTAATTTTCCATCCATAAATTTATCTCATTATTTAGTATCTGTATCCATTTTTGCTTTCTGGTTCGCATCCATTATGATTCTCGTAGAAAACCTCTTGCATTGTGCCACAAGGTATTCCTAAATCATTGCTGTGACCAAGCCAAATGCGTCATGTGCGTCATTTTAACAGCAAACTGTTAATTAAAACCTTGTTTCAGTCAGTTGACAAGGGGTCGCATTTCACAAAAACCTTTCGTTGCCTCTAGTTCCCTACTCGCTTCTCTGTGTACATGTGCTTGTATTATAACCTGTTTGCCGCACTTGTTATTACCTGTTGCCCCGTGCA